TACTTTTTCATTGTGAGCCATTTCCTTCTGACCTCCCAAAAGAGGATAAATGTGTTTGGAGTACAAGCACAAATCTTTTTATTATTGTTAGGGAGGTGGAGGATAATAATAATCAATATTTTCAGCCACAGTTTAGAACATCAGAATAAGGGTATGTGTCTGCAAATGGTTGCGAGGAGGTTGACTCTGTGTGTGTGTGTGTGTGTGTGTGTGTGTGTGAGAGAGAGAGAGAGAAAGAGAAAGAGAGATCCAAGTTTCTTCCTCATCTTGAATATTCTTCATAAGGCAGGTGAACAAGTCCCCCAAACCTATGTTAAATCCATAGCAATTAAAAGGGAAAATGCTACAGCTGTATTGTGGGTTAGTTTTTCTTTCAGTAGACGTATTTGTTTGCTCATCTGACCAAAGTAGCAGCTTTTGTGGCGCATCACCATGTTTGTCCTCGGGAAGGCTAAAATGGATAGAGCACGTGCAGCTGTGTTTCCTCTGATGTGCTTCAGGTTGTCTCTAAGAGAACTATGATGAGAAAAGGTACAGTGATGAGCTGCAGAAGAAGTATTTAGTAAGGTGTTTTCTAAACAAGATGAGTTACCCTGTTGGTGATGCTGTAGGGCAGCACTCTTGAGGTTTTAGGTCACTTTTAGTACCATCATATGTTTCTTCCTCAGTCAGCTGGTTTACGAGACAACGCGTGTCTGAACCGTTAGCAGTAGAAGGTGATGCACATATGGAAGTTGTCCAAGTTTTTAATATACTGAATGGTGACAAAGAGCAGATATTAGAAGCACTTAGAGCCTGGTTGGTGAGGATGAGCGAAGGCATATCATAATTGAGGACAGTAACACATTTTGAGAGTTTCTCTAGATAATTAAATTATAGGAAGCCCTTCTGGACCTCGTCATGATCTGGAGGAGTCCACATTTGTAATCCTAGGGAAAAGTTACTGGAATTCCAGTAAGTAATTCCAATCTGCCACTCCAGTGCAACCCACGAAGGCATATTTGTAGTTGTGGGAGCCAAAGGAGGCCTAAGTCCAGTCAGAACAGAGGCTAACTGGAACAAAGGCCTAGACCCAGGGCTGAACCTGGGTTTCATTAATTCATGAAGAAGGGAGTAGTTTGGGGGATGAGTGACTGCAAGAACAGTGGGAAGTACGTGAATGCTGTGAGTTGGGCTGGGTAGGAGTCAAGTTAGCACCTCTGCAATGTGCAGATAGATGCAGAAGGAGTACTCTGCCCAACACAATTTGAGGGAGTATCTTATGTTTTGGGGTCAGTGCTTCAGCTTTGATGTGTAATCTTCATGTCCAGAGACATCAGAGATTCTTTCTCAAGTCTCAGTCTCAGCCAACAGCCTGACAGAGCAGCATCACTAGGCCTAGCTCACGCATACACATCAGCGCCTTGGCTAGATCTATTTGTACTGCTGAAAGCCAGTTGAGGGGATAAAGAAATAGCCTAGCCAGCTCTGCACATATCAGTACACAGAAGAAATGTGGCCAGGGTAAGCCAAAATGGAGCCAAATGCTTTTCTTCAAGGAGAGCTGTCCTGATGATCCTCCACATTAAATTATTGGTCTTTTCAAGTATTATATTTATTACTTCGTGTCACACCAAGCAGCAAGATTTAGTCAAGAAAGTCATTGGATTAGCCAGGTAAAATCATACTTTCAGTGGGCGGGTTAGGATTGGTGGTCGAGGTGTGTATGAAGTATGCCCAAGAGAGACTAGGAAGCTGTTACAAAGGGGCTCCTTCCAAACTTGAAGACACTAATCTTTTGGATATTATTGTCTTTGGACTTGAGATGGTTTGGAAGAATCCCAGGTAAACACAATCATGTAGTAAGACCCTGGAGTTAATAAATTAGTAGTCAGGGAAACCTTAAATTTAGGCAGTAGATGATCCCTCCCCTTCCCTGCTCCCTCCAAATCAATGGGGGCCATAAAGTGGCTGTAAACAATGAAAAAAAATCATAGAATTTGGGAGGAGGAGAGGACTGTCTTTTAGAGTAAATTTAGTGAAAATTGGAAAAGAGGATGAGCTGATTGAATGAAATGCTATCAGGAGAAGGGAGATGGTGATATGGTATGGACTGACCATTTCTTGAGGAACAGGCTGGGGTAGGGGGAATGATTCTTGTTATAAATGGATAAAGTGTGTGCTTATTAAAACTGAGAGAGTGAAATTCCAACACTCCAAGCAAGTGCTTTGTGAAGATCCTTTGTTGTCAGACCCTTCTTCTACTCGACCTCTGGGGGCCATTCCTATAGCTTTGTCTTCTTTCAGTACGATGGCCACTATATGTACATTTAGAATTTTTTTTTTAAAATGCAAAGATTCCCCCCTCCCCCCCCCCCCCCAAAAAACAAAAAAAAAACAGTAAAACTGAGAAGAATCTGGAATGAGTTAGGAACATGCTGAGATACAAACAGATTTATCTAATGGTGGACTCATAGTTCTCAGTGAGATGAGATGAGCTTATTAGCTTTGAGTGCCTGGTGGGAAGGATGGGGGAAATTACTTGGACCTCTTAATTTTTTCTTTTCTGTGACCTTCTTCCCTTCTCTAACTCCCACCCACCCCGAGTCTTTGCCTGGTTTCTCTGGAGACATACACAGAACCATGTTTTTTTTGACATAAGCGTTACATCTTTTCTGCTTCTGAACTCTGGGGACAGTGCTTTTAGCACTGAAGAAACATGTGCAGATTCCATCTGTGCATATCAGATTCTGACCGCAGCTGTAGTTGAAGGCTGTTGGGTGAGATGTGGGGGTCCTTGATACAACCTAGAGTCATATACCCATGTTTCAGTGCAAGATTTATTTTGCAAAATTTTTCTACCTTTTTCTGTAAATTTTTTTATTAATGATACAAATTTAGAAGTTAAGAATTAAAAATGATAGGCTCAAAATTATCTGAAATTGGAGTGTTAGCTGTTAAATATTAGCAGTCATATCTGTCCAAAATTTCCATATATATATGTGTATATATATATAGTTCATTTCTAATCTTGAACTCACTATGTAGATGAAGCGGGCTTTGAACTTGTGGTGATTGTCCTGCCTCAGCCTCCCAAATGCTGAGATTACAGATGGGCGCCACTAAACCCAGATGTTTTATTTTTTTGGCAGTATTGATTTATCTTTGCAAATTAAATTATATATTGAGTCATCCTTTGGTGTCCTCAGGGAATTGGTTCCAATACCCTGTGCTGGTACCAAAATCTGCAGATGCACAGATGCTCAAATTTCTTATATAAAATGGTGTAATTTTGCTATATAATCTATGCACATCCTCTGCTCTACTTTAAATCATGTAGGTTATTTATAATACTTAAGACTGTGCTTGCTTCGGCAGCACATATACTATAATACATAAGACAGTGTAAATGCTATTCAAGTTTGTGTTATACCATATTATTTAGGGAATAATGACAAGGACTAAAGTTATATGTAGAACCCACAGATTCAAAGGGATGACTGTATATGCATGTATGTATGTATGCATGTATACACACATATCCACAGGTTTTACATTCACTGATCAGAAATTTAACCAGCTTGTTTTCTATGGCTGTGATATTCAAAACAAAGATGATATTTCTCTTCCTAAGTGTAAATAGAAGGCAGACAGCATTTCATGGGGTATTCATCACATTCATTAGTTACTACCTTCATCCACCATCTTTATATACAGAATGATTTATGTACTCGGGTCTTCTTGTTGACCTGTTCATATTCACATATTCTACTGATATGTGGGGATAGAATTTGTAGGGAGACAGGGGAGGTGTTTCTGTATACTAAGGTCTTTGGAGGAGAGTTAAGCCTTCTTTTATAGGTTCTCTTGGTGTTAGTATTAAGGTGATTAATATTTGCCATAAATAAAGTTATATTACCGTATCTTCATTTGTCTGGAAGGCAATTTTATGATACCTTAGATACATCCAGATGTCAGAACGTAAATCCAGGGAGCCCTCAGAGTAGCCAAAATTTGCTAAAAGTCAATTCAGTACACTTTTTGCCTACTATGTGAGAGGTGCTTTACATAAGTTGCCTTATTTAATCCTCACAATAATCTTATGGGAGAGCCATTGTTCCCACATTTATCGATGGGGAAATTGAAGCTTCTGAAGAAGTTATAGATGGTGTTCTGGGTCACACATTCTATGGGTGTCAGTCTGGGCTTTCGGTGTGGTTTTTATGTCGGTCACATCCTCATGCCGAGCCCAGTTGCTCCCGTTTTCAGTCAGTAACACTGACGTTTCTGCAGTAACAAGTGTGTGAGTGGCCCTGGTGTTTAGGATTAAAGACAGAATGTCCTGTATAATCCTTTTGTCCTTAAAATCTTAATCTGCAGTAAACATGAAGCTATGAAGCAGTTTTAAAAAGAAATAAAGCTTGAGTACAAGGACAGTGTCTACCTTATTGGCTACACATCCACAGGACAGACACAACACGTACTAGGAGCACAATACATATATGATGAATGGATGGGTGAAATTAGTGAGAAGTAAAAGCTAACTAGGAGAAAGACTAAAGTATAAAATGGATACATAATAACAAAACATAACCATCAAGGCCACTTAAAACTCACCCATGTGGAATAGCTCTTTCCCTACTGATACTGGATAAAGGGGTAAATAAATAAGTTTTTTTCTTTTTCGCTGATAAATTTCAACATTAAAATTTCATTACAAATGAATTATTTAAATGTCAAATTAGATTCTTTGGAAGATATAAAGAACTATATATAGTATATAGCATATAACAATTTATAATACTGTAACAACTGAGTAGGTTGCATAAAATGACAAAATATTTTTGAGTAATGTCACTAAATAATTTGTGTTTGGAGTATCATTTAGCTTGTTGTAAGGAAAAAATGAGAAAATTCTAGGAAGCTATTGAAATGATTTAAATTTCATTATTCAACAGCATCGATGCGCTACTTTCTTGTCTCAGGAATGTATCTATTAACAGTGATATTTTGCCTTACAGCTTTTCTGGGAGAAGAGGCTACAAGGACTTAGTGCATCAGATGTAACAGAACAAATTATAAAAACCATGGAACTACCTAAAGGTCTTCAAGGTATTATCTAAGTTTAGTTGAGCAGATATCTATCAAGGGCCTTAGGTGGCTTTATAATAATGCCAGGCACTATGTTAGATGCTGTGCATTCAGATTTGATACCAGGTCTTTGCTTTGTGGGGGTCACATGCCTTGCTGGTTGGCATTCCTTTTGTGTTGTAGTAAACTCAGGGGAAATAAACAAGGAAAACGCATATGTTGTAGGGATTCTTCCATGTGGTATATTACCTGAGATTTTTTTTTTCTGTGTAAAAATTTTGGCTCTAGGTTAGGTTTGTTGTCTGACTTGACCTATGTGCTGCTTTTAGCACTGAGTGCAGATAGTCTATAGCATTTCCCAGACTTCCTGCTTACAGCGGCATCTGGCTCCAACATTTGTTCTTTCTCTTACCCTCTTACCAAAAAAACGACTAACTACTTTCCTTCTGCCCCTCCTTCCACAAACTGCTGTCTTCAATAGCAGTGGGAACATGCACACTGGTTCAGCAATAGAGGTTGGTGGGATTTGGGCTGGAGAACTCAGTTTCCATCTACCTGTCAATTACATGTTAAATCCAAGTTACAGAGAAGCATTATTTTTCAAGTAGTAGAACTTCAGCTTTTAAATCTTGATATATTGCATATTACTCAAAAAGTTTTATAATTCTTAAATTCTTATCCTTTTATAGTCTTGGAAATGATTGCTTTAACTAAACAAGTTTAGGACTTTAAGCAATTAATTTAAATTTTGCTGTGGTGTCTCCTGCAAATAGTCAAGGTGTGCAGTTATTCTCTGAGCCTGGATATTTTTATTAGGCATTTGAAATAGCTGTTAAAGCTGCAGGTGCAGCATGTTTGCATTGAATTCCTGAAACAAAGAAGATAAACATTGGGATACTTCTAGAAATAATTTTAAAAATCATAAAGAGAAAATATTTCAAAGAGAAGTATAGAAGATAAAACCTTGGATATTACTGGGTATATATTTTAAAAGTCATAAAGAGAAGCTATTAATCGGGATGCATGAGTATAATGCCTTTGTAACGGACTTATACTCTTAAAATAATTCAATTTGCTTGAGAACATACAGCCAATTTTTCAACAGCTTAAGCATGTGAAACTGTATTTTATTTTATTTTATTTTATTTTTTTTTTGGTTTTTCTCTGGTACCGGGAACCGAACTCACGACCTTGCGCTTGCCAGGCAGGCGCTTTGCCGCTGAGCTAAATCCCCAGCCCCTGAAACTGTATTTTAAAGTTTTATTAAAATGCTTAGCTTTTTGTGATGATTTCTTTAGTGTTAATTCTCTGCTGTATAATAGCTACCAAATGGATATCACATTGTCCTTTGCTGCTTTGGCTTAGTTCAATTTTAAATAGATGAGGCCAGTTGAACACAAATGCTGGTTGTTGTAAGTCATGTAAGGCTTGCTCAGCACATTCAACATTTTCCTTTAAGTAGTGCTTCTTTTTAACTGCAGGAGTTGGTCCAGGTAGTAACGATGAGACCCTTTTATCTGCTGTTGCCAGTGCTTTGCACACAAGCTCTGCACCAATCACAGGACAAGTCTCCGCTGCTGTGGAAAAGAACCCCGCTGTGTGGCTTAACACATCTCAACCCCTCTGCAAAGCTTTCATTGTCACAGATGAAGATATTAGGTAAGCAGTTGAACAGGACTTTAAAAAGCTTGATTTTTGCCAGTGGGTAAATTTTACACTACTCATTAAGTTCAATGTCGCATCTAGTACAGGATGAGCATCCCTCATCTGAAAAGTCTAAAATCTCAAATGCTTTAAAATCTGAAACCTCTTGAACTCTGACGTGATGGCACAAGTGAAAAATCCTGTACCATGAAACTGTTTCTTGCACAGAAGTATTAAAACTATATATAAAATTACCCTCAGGGTATGGTACAAGGTATATAGTTGAATTTCACATTGAAGCTTAGGTCCTCTCGCCCGTATCTCACTGTGTATATGCAAATGTTTCAAAATCTGAAAAAGTCAGAAATCCTCTGGCCCCAAGTGGTTCAGATAAAAGTTCCTCAATCTGTAAGTGATGACTCTACCAGAAAGTTGTTTGTTTGTTTTTTTTCATAGAGGTTTTCTGAAACCAATGAGGGGGATGATAATCTACTTAATGCACATTTTTGAAAAGTAATAGTATCACGAGCATGTTCACAGGATGAGTATCAGATCAGTTGTACACACATCATTCTGCAGTGTTTGGCAATTTAGGTTTCTGAATTTCTACTGTAAGGACCCCCTTCCACTCAGTCATGATTTTTATCATTGCATCCTTCATTGATTTATGTGCGCACCAGCTTCCATTTGAAAGCAGATGAGAGCCATGCTGCTTTAAGCTCAGTTGTGTTTTCAGAGTTTAATTTAGTTACAGTGATTATGTTTCCTTCACTTCCGCTCAATTTAGAGATTTATCCACCTCTGTTTCACGTTGTTTCAAGTAAAGATTTAAGGAGGCTAAACACACACACACACACACACACACACACACACACACACACACATACACACACATGCACACTATAGCAAGAGAGGAAAGCTAGAGCAAAGAGTAAAGCAGTGAAGCAGGAGTGAGAGAGAACATAAGCTGCATCTATTAGCATCTTTTTATTCTAAGACTGAGCCACAAATTAGGTTTTTTGCAGCAAATCATAAAAGGAAATTATTCAGCTTAGATTGCTAACACCCAAAAGGTGTAAGCAAAGCATTGCTGAGGAGAAGCAAATGTATTCCGTATAGTAAAACCACAAAGAAATTCTTGTCTAGGATTTATGAACTTCAAGATCATTACTGTATAATGATGATAATGGTACTGTAGTGTTTCATATTTTCTTCTTTTTTTTTTTTTTTGGTTTTTCTCCGGTACCGGGAACCGAACTCTCGACCTTGCGCTTGCTAGGCAGGTGCTTTTTGCCGCTGAGCTAAATCCCCAGCCCCCATATTTTCTTTAAAATATGACAATGTGTATATTTCACTGTTCATATCTTCTGAGTATAAATCAAAGATATACTGGAGAATTATTCCCAGACAAAACCAGCAGATGGCACTTATGAATCATACAATTTAAAAATACATTTCTATTTGTATTTTTTCTAAACCTATAAAAATTGACATAAAAATATTTCTTAATGTATGAATCTAGCTAGATTTATAATGGAAATTCCTTTTTTTTTTTAAAGAGAATAAAAAATAAGAAAAAAATCCCAGTTGTTTGCTATAGATAGGAAACCATCTTGTTTCCTATCATCAAAACAAGATGATAAGAAATTAACAATGGTTGTTATATTGCATATTGTTATCTTCAAAGTAGTTGCTCAGATTACCAGATATAGGCATGCAAAACAAACAATTAAGCATTAACTGTTCCTTTCAAAAAACCAATAGAAATTAGTAGTACAATTATCTTAGCTATTTTGTGTACATATATATATATAGATAGATATCTATCTATCTATCTATCTATATATATTTCCCCTTCTTTCTTCCTTTTCTCCTTTCCTTCTTTGTTTTTAAAGTAATTCCCTTTGCAAAGATATAAAACAATTCAAAATTGTATTCGTATGCCTTGATTGCATGGGATTTATGATCAACTTTATTTTTGAAGAAATTAAAATAACAAAGTATAAAATCAAGGCAAGGTATTTGCTTACTCTTTGGATTGTTCTTACCCTTAAAAAAAAAAAAAAAAAAAGGATTGTTCTTACCCTTGAGGAAGAAAATTACTTGGGAGACAAATTCTTTTCTGTCTTGGAATGACTATGGAATTAGTTGGGATTCCACCAGGTCATTATGGATGTTAACTGAAGTTCTCAGTGATATTCTGGGATGCTGATGGCTTCAACACTAGATCTCTTGATAGTAAAAGGAAATATCTCAAAGCCAGATCTCCGGATGATTTCCTTTTTGGGTAAATTTGTCAAACAAATTGTTCATTTGATTTAATTGTCCTAACAGAAACTCTTAAGCAAACATTCCTTGTCGAATTAGTACATGTTCAAAACAAGTGACCACAAATAAAATTATTACCCTTTCTCTAATTGTGTAGCCAATATTCTGTTTACATTAAATTTCAAGCTAGAGATCTCAAATATTAATTGTATACCTTTTCAAGAATATTTGATAATATTTCACTCATTGATACTTTTGTATCTAACCTAATATAATTAGTCATATACTTTTGTTTTGTAAAACTTTGTAACAAATCTACACAATTTTTCAGCTTAAAACAAGACCCATTGTTAGCTCACACTTCAGTGGTTCAGAAGCTTGGTTCTTTGCTCAGATTTCATAAGCCTAATGTCAAAGTTGGCTGGACTGCATTCCCTTCTGGAGCTTAGGATTCTTTTTCCAGCTCACACGATTGTACAGAATTTATTCCTTGTGGTTGCAGGCTTAAGAGCTCTGCTGTTTTGTTGGCTGTGGGACAGATGTCACTGTCAGCTCCTAAAGGCTGCGTGTAGTTCCTTGGCACATGGCCTCCTGTATGTACCCTTACATAATTCTCTCAGGAAGGGCCCAGCCCTGGTAAGGGTTCTTCCTATTAGTTCAGGCCTACTATACTAGCCTTTCTTTTGATTAATTCAGGGCCACTTGATTAGTAATATAATCATGAAGTGATATCCTCCCATATCCATAAATTCCACCCACCCATAAGGGTAGAATGTATAGACCGAGTCCAAATGGGAGTAAGATTCTTGGTAACATCTTGGAATTCTGCCTACCATAGTGGGTGAATACTCTAATTTCAGGTCTCATAAATGTGGGAAGTAATGCTTGAGATAAAGAAAATCAATGGCAAGTTTTAAGAATTTAAGATACACTTCTTCATCTAAAAGTGCTGTTTGCTGTATTTCCTCATGTGATTACTCCATGGGAGCGGTGCATTTCTGGTACTGGTACTAGGAGTGAGAGAATGCCCGTGATAAGGGCGTGCCATTTGACAGACTTTGAGCCACTGGGCTGGAGGGAGATTATGTAAGAAATAAATGTGTTCTTCACCTTGTTCCATTATATGAAAATCTGTTCAGTTCTGTTTTCTTTTCATCTGACAGAGGCTACAAAGCACAGACTGACCCAGTAACCTTCTCCCTCTCTCTCCCCCATTTTTAAAAATCCATTTAAAAAGTAGATGTCTCTATCTTTTAACTCCTTGTGCTGCTTTTGGAGTTTAATGAAGAAAGGTTTATTGAAGTTTAATAAAGTCTTTGTGTCTCTCCAGCATACTTTATCTTTACTGCCTTGGATGTAGTCCTCTATGACACAGACGGGTGTGGTCAGGAGCACAGCACGTGTCGCTTCCATGTGGCCAAGCCTCAGGGCGCGAGCACCCACTGACTGTGTTGGGTCCTCCATGGCACAGCTCCTCTGCCTTTTTGCTGTGCTAGATTTGGGCAGTGCTGCATCTGTCTCCCTCAGTTCCTGGTGGAGTAAATTGCTTTTCCCCGTTTTCTTGTGTCTGTTGCTGGTCACTGTACTGCTCTGCCGCCTGCTCTGCATCCATTTTGGCCATCTTTCCTCTGATCTGAGGGGAGGGCTTAACCTTTCCTCTATTAGAGCTTAACTCTCCCACCTCTGCCTTCGCCTTTTCATGTCTTATTTTCACCAGGACCTTTACCTACTGGTCTCCCCTTTCTCTTATGTGTCTTCAACTTTCACCTCCCTTCTTGGTTCTGGATGTAAATTTCTCTCTTGCCCTCTCAGGGAACTAACCTCAGCTTTTGTCTCTGCTTTTTAAAGATGAAATATATTGAGCATCTGTTCTCCTAGACTTTGTTTCCATCTCACATGCAGAGCTTTGTTTATAACTTGGAGTTACTGACTCCCATTTTTGCAGTGCCCTTATCATCACTAAGACAGAGAAACTCACGCATGCTCTCGATCTCCTCAGCTCATCTCAGGTGAGGAGGTGTACTTTGGTCTCTCTGCTCATGTGATCCTGGGACTTTCTTGCTGAATTGGTGCCTGCAGACCTGGGAGCCCAGGAGGGCTCTCCCCTAACATAGCCGCAGAACTCCAGAGTGAACCCCAACCTATTGTGTTTCTGCTTGGTGTCTTTCTCAGTGCTTCACCAAAAAAGTCACTTGCCCTTCATGTTCCATATTATCTGCCTCTTGTATCCCTGCTTCCAAGTTACTTCTGTTTTTCTTTTATAGGAATAAACCCAAATCTCCACATACTTGAAATTCTTCTTTATTTCTTTTTTGGTGGTGCTGGGCCCCAGGGCCCCATACATGTAGGCAAGTGCTCTAGCACTAACTTACATCCCCATCCATTTTAATTAATTAATATGTTATTTTAAGACTTCCTGCCAAGTTGCCCTGATGGGCTTCAAAGTTGAAATCCTCCTGCCTTGGTCTCCCAAATAGCTAGGGGTATAGGTGTGTACCACAGTATCAGGCCACATAATTTGAAGTTCTTGAAGCTGAGGATGAGGTCACTGAAATAAATCTGTGTCTTCCAGAATTCTCTGTGAAACAGGGATAACTGCTTGTGAATATCTCTCTTTTTGGCCAAGGCTAGGCACTACGTTTGGTCTGCAAGTGTAGAAGCAATTTGCAGAGTTTAAGGGGAGTAAAGTGATTTTTCTCAGGAATTGAATGACTCTCAAGTAAGGATGAGCTTTTGAAGTAGCTTCATATTTTCATTACTTGCCAAATTTTCAGTGTCTTTTTCTTCTGTTTTTAAAAAGGAAACAGGAAGAGCGAGTACAACAAGTACGTAAGAAATTGGAAGAAGCACTGATGGCAGACATCCTGTCCCGGGCTGCTGATACAGAAGAGATGGACATTGAAATGGACAGTGGAGATGAAGCCTAAGAATATGATAGGTAAACTAATACCAGGCGTAGAGACACTCAAAGCATAAGCTGTTTATTTTCTTATTGGTTGTACTTTGTAGCCTCTTCTTCAGTGACTTAGAACCCACTCTAAGGTTATGCATATGCTGTTGTTTGGCCCCTCTCTGTATTTAAGGGCCACTGAAGTTACTGCGTCCATTTGTTCTCATTCTGTGAGGACATTGACACCCAGGCAGCCACCTCCAAGGGATCCCTTAGGTCTTCTTTATTCAAACCATAGAAAATCTGGAAGGTGTCATTCGAGAAAAGCCGATGGGCTCTGTCAGATATGAAGGAATTGCTCCAGGAAAGTAAGGTAGCTACCTTCTGGGGTATGTTGTTCCCTCTGTAGGAGTATGGTAGGACAATGGGCAAGGTCTTTCCCTCTTTCTAGGTTTTCTACTGGAGACTTGATGGAGAGAGAATAAGGAAGGCATTGTCAAGTATAACACAAAATTTTCCTTAAAAATACAAATGTTGGTTTTACCCTAAAGCTCACATGTGAGGTTCATGGGCTGTGTTTCTTTGAGTACCTGTTCTCTTCAGATGATTACACTTGAAGCCATGTTGAATTATACAAGGCTTCAACATGGCTTCTTGTTTTCCACCTTCTGTCCTGCATTTTGGAGGCTTATCTTGCTTTCTGCTACTTGTAACCTAATCATTTGTTCCCTTTCAAGTCAAATTGGAGAGTGGGCAACAAGGAATAGCTAACGTGATGTGAAGGGTCAACAAGGCCTTTCTGGGGAAGTGACATTTGCCTTGAGCCTGAGGACACATAGGAATGAGTCAAGGGAAGTTGAGGTGAAAGTGGACCCATTGAAGGGACAGCAAAGAGAAACTTGGTTTCTTTAGGGTAGAAAGAAAAGATCAGTGTGTTTTGAATGCAGGGAGGGGAAGGTATTGGCAATGCACTTGATCATGCAGGGCTCATGGGTTATGGTTAGAGACTTTGAGCTTGATTGTTAAAACCAGTGGGGATCTGGTGAGGGCCAGGAGCATGGTCACATTTAATGATTTACAAGGTACTTCTGGCTGGTGCAGGAAAGTTTTGGAGTAAGGCAGAGCCTAGAAGCAAAGAGGCCAGTTGAGTGGTATTGAGGTAGTCTAGCAAGAGGCATTGGTGGCGTTCCAGAATGTTGACAGCTTGTGGGGAGAAACGGAGGTGGCTACTTGGGATACATTTGGGGCCAGAATTGTCTTGACTAGTGATTGAAAGGGAGCTTGAGAGAGTGGCAAGGACGAAGCAGGTTTCACACTTGAGCCCCTGGAAGGAAGGGGGAATTCTGTTTGGTGGAGGACCAGGCTAACAGTAGGGAGTGCAGGGGGGTGAGTTTCACTGTTGATAACGTCTTCCTTTCCTAGTAACAAGTAGAGCGGATGTCCTAGCATTTATGTGTTTGGTGACAGCAGCACCATTGTGTCACGTAGTTTTCTGACCACATAGACTGTTCAAATTCAGTTCAGTGCTATTTTAAGTTTTTATCTTCTTACTAGGACAGGAAGATACTGTGTCAACATTCTGGATTTTGTCTTTCAAGATAGCACAGACATGCAGTGGGCTTTACTAAGCATCTTCACGATGTGTGAACTCTGACAGGGATAAGTCTGACACGGTTCTTTTGTCTGAGGCCCAGCTCTGCCCTCCGAGTGCAGTGAGCGAATCCGTAGCACTGCAGCCCTGCCAGCATCTGTAGCACTGTGTCAGTGTGTTAGAAGGCCCGCCTCTCTGTTGGAGCCTTTAGTTTCAGAGGCTTTCTTTTTCTTCACTTTTCTGCCATTTTTGTTGTTTTTCAAAATTAATTTTATTGGTGCACTTTTGATATACATAATGGTCATACTCATGATATGGAATTTGAATCTGTGCATAATATACTGTATCTTGATTCTTTTTTCCCCATTCCATTCCCCTCCCTTCAACCCCTCTTCCCCTCTGTATTAGCAAAAGCTTTGTTTTCATTTATTTCCTTTTCCCTTCCTTTCTTTCCTCCTCTCCCCTCCTTTGTTCCCCTTCCCATTTGAATATTTTCTTTATACTTCCGAGTATCTATCATCCATTTTGGTCCTTATTTACCCTTTTGATTTCTCACAGCAGAGAAACCATGAAAAATTTAAACGTGTGTCTGATTTATTTCACATAAAAGTGTAGTCTCAAGTTGCACCCATTTACCTAGAAATGTTCAAGTTTATCCTTTATGGCAGAGTAGTACTCCATTGTATGTAAAAACCACATCTTCTTTATCCATTCATCAGTTCATGGGCATTTGGGCTGTTTCCAAGATTTAGCTATTACAAACTGGGCCTGCAGACTTCTCATCTGAAGTCAGTTGGGATAATCAAGGGCCATCATCTAGTTAAGGCTTAGCTAGACCTGTGCTTCCTGCAGATGACTTTACAGACTGGGAGCAGGCAGCACTCGAATCACTTACATAAGCAAGCGTCTGTGTTAGGCACTTTACATGTGTAGAAGCCGGCACTGCTCATCGCCTTGTGCCAGTGTGGAGAGTGGTAATTACAAACTCATTTTTGGCGAGTGCTAAGAGTTTTAGTCCTTAAAAGTGGCTGCTATTTTGGTGTGTTAGGTAAGGAAAGATTCCTGTTTGTCATATTCTAAACTTGAGAATGGTGTTAGAATGGGTCTTTAGACTTGTAGACTGTGAGGCTTCAGAAGTACCTCTTTGTTACTTTCGTTACTTACTTAGCCCAAAATATCCATAAAATGCTTAGGAAAGTGGCGCGTGGCTGCAAGACTTCATCAGATGTTCACGGTGTGGAACAGGGCTCACTTAGGTTGGCAAAGAGTGGGATGTGGCCAGCTTCACGAGGCTTCTCAGAGACGGGCCGAGTGTGCCAGCCTGTGGTTCACTCCAGGTCTGTCAGTCTCGTACACCATAGCTCCTTCTAATGCTCCTTATTAGAAGTCTATATTTATTTATTTAAATAACAGGTTGAGATTTACTGTGCCACTTAAATCATAGAGGAGTGACCAGGTCCTCAAATATTTTAAGAACGATTACATGAAGATAAGTATAAAAAGGTGTTAAAATATTTAACTGTGAATGAGATATCATACTAAAGACATAAATAGTTCAATTTTCAATTGTGCAGTTCCATTTCACTTAGAATAAATAAGACTGTGTGTATATCTATCATCTATAAATGATCTAGAGTAAAATCAATCATTATGAAGTTAAATCATTGTAAGTAGAAAGTTTTTCAAAATACTGTAGGGGCTGGGGATTTAGCTCAGCGGCACAGCGCCTGCCTGGCAAGTGCAAGGTTGTGAGTTTGATTCCTGGTACTGAAAGAAAAACAAAACAAAAACAAAACAAAACAAAACAAAACAAAATACTGTATGCTTGGATTTGATCATTACGATTTTTCATTTGTATGTCCTTTGAGTTCCCTTACTGTGCTAATTTAGTTAATCGTAGGTAGAAAACATTCATAGAACTACACAAAGGGATGCATATCATTTCCTTGAAAATTAAATGTATTAAAAGTTACCAAAATAGAACATTTGAAACATTGGGGGAATATTTTGAGCACTTTTTTATTTTTAAAATACTATAAATGTACAATCAGGAGTTAAAGCATGTTCTAAGTGAAATTTAACTTTCTTTTTCTTTTTTTTTTTTTTTTTTTGAGTTTTGCTTATGTTTCACTGAGAAATCATTGAATTACTTAAGTTTATTTATTTTTTCTTGCAGGTAACTTCGGACTGACTTTCCCCAAGAGCAAATTACTAGAAATTGAATAAAAACATTTCCACTGGGTTTTGCCTGTAAGAAAAAAATGTACCCGAGCCCATAGAGCTTTTTAATAATAGCACTAACCAATGCCTTTTTAGATGTATTTTTGATGTATATATCTATTATTAAAAAATGATGTTTATTTTGAGTCCTAGGACCTAAAATTAGTGTTTTGTAATATCAAGAAGGACCCTTAAGATGAAGCTGAGCTTTTCATGCAAGGTGCAATCTACTGGAAATGTAGCACTTACGTGAAATATTTGTTTCCCCCACAGTTTTAATATAAACAAACCAAGAGTACCAAATAAATTTCCCAATGAAAGATTATTGTGACTTCACTGTATATAAACAGATTTTTGTACTTTATTGAAAGGGGACACCTGTACATTCTTCCATCATCACTGTAAAGAAAAATAAATGATTATATTCACAGACTGATTGGAACTTTTTCTGTTAAAGAGTACACACAAGAAGTGGCCCCTCATTAACATTCCTGATACACATTCACCTTTGATCCTTGGGCCTTAGGTTTGAAGCGGAGGTGGTGGAAAATAATTTATGCATTTGTGGTATGCCTCCAGACACGTTGAGAATTGTGCTTTCATCAGAAGTTTACATTGTCATCCAGCAATGTATTTTTTTTTCCTGCCTGTGACCAGTACTTCTGACAGTTCTGTTAAAAACAAATAAGGCTTTTTCTTTCTCTCAGCATGAGTTAGGTACACAGGTGCCTGGTAGGTGTTACTTGAAGTTCATGTTGTTTTTGCTAAAACAGTTTTCATTTTCTAACATCCAGTAGCTTATGAAGTTCACAAGTGCAGCTCACACCCTTAGCACAGTGAGAGGCACCTTCTAGGCAGAGATGCTTAATGAGCCAGATTGTGATTCTTTACTAATCCAGTAGCCAGCCTCCAAGGTGTTAACATATTTTTCTGTTGAAACTCATATGCCTAAATTTTATTGCCATTTAAATTTCTTTTTCTATCAGTTAAATTTTGTGATACCTTATTACTTAAGCTGGCATTGCTATATTCATTAATTTTAAAATTGAAACATAATCTAGGAAGGGGGAGTGCTTATAAGCAAATTGAAGCAAAATTTCAGAAATGGAGCAAAAATAATGTTCTATAGGAATAATTTGTGTACTTAGGATTTCATTTTAAATTAGATCTGATAGAGCTCTTATTATCTTATTAACAGTGATGTGGTGAAGGATATGACCAATTCTGTATCATAATTCTGTACCAATTTTGTACATTTCATTATCAGTACTTCCAGATTCTTTAACTTCTCAAAGGGAAAGAGGAGGAGGAGGTTAGTTAAAGCAGTATGACTTTCTAAATCTGGAGTGCTGTGTTTCTGGACCTTTATTGCCAAACTATGTAAATACTCTTGGAATTCCTGATTTATATTCAGTTTTGGTCCCTAGGCCTAGGCCACAGATTTCCATGGAACGGCCCTGCTAGTGGATGAGCAGGGAGACTTGCGGTCTCCAGGAGGGCTGTGGGCAGATGGTCCCTGCTTTGGGTCCATCAGCTTCCCAAGTGGGGTGGTGGGAAGTTAATATCAATTTCTTTATAAGCGCTGGTCTGACAAATTACCAGGATAGCCAAAGGTTTTTCTCCTCCTCCCTAAAGGCCGTGAGCCTTTATTTGCAATCACACTGGGGTAGTTTCACCTTGATGATCGTATATTTTTACAATACAATCCAACCAAGATATCTGTGCTTTTCTAAACAGATTTGTAAAAATAAAAACAGTGTACACACTATAAAACTTTTTCTTGTATACTTTGCTCAGGTAGAGAACAAGATCTGAAAACTATTACATGGTGTCCTACTGGGGACCATTCTGTAAGTCTGGGATATTCCCAATGTACCGACAGGACATGTCCGCGATCAAGTTTGTCATCTCATCCTCACAAACTTACCACCATCTTGCGTGTCCCAACTTGAATAAAAGCAAAGCAGAAGCAGCTCAGGAGTGATCCCGCATGTCCCTTTTTTCCCCTTGCCTGTGACACCTGTCAGTCCTGTTAGAACTACTGTATTAACTATACCTTTCACACATACACCCCATCTCTCACCCGTCCCTTCTTCGTGCAAACCTTCCCTCTCCTCTGGGCTTTCAGTGGCTTCCTTTATCTCACATGTTCACTGTCTCTTTCCTCTTTTGTCTCCTCCATGTAGTCATCAGAGTGATTCTCAAAATAGGGCAAAGTGGTCGAGTCCCTTCCCTGCTCAAAGTCCCTCATGAGTAGGAATAGAGTAGTTTAGAATTATTTTTAAGAGCAAGTGCTTTGAGATTAGGAGAACCTGTGTCTGAATCCTGGTTTTGCATTTGTGTGACTTACCAGGTTACTGAGTCTTTGATCCTGTTCCTCCTCAGTGAAATAAAAATAATACCTACCTCATAGAGTTATTGTGGGGATTCGGTGAGATACTGTAATAAAGTGTTTAGCACAGTGCCTGGTGTGTAGTGTGTATACACAGAATGCTACTGTTGTCCCCTGGTGTCATTTTTATGTCACTTCCAAGAGGCACTTTTTGATAACCCTGACTGTCCCTACCCTAATTCTATATTTTCAGTACTCTGTTTATTTCCTTTGTAGAAAATTTCTAAATCTGTATTTTATTTATTTGCTGATTTTTTGAGGGGGTCTATCTCTTACTAGAATGTAAGCTCCCTGAGAGCAAGGATGTGTCTATCTTGTTCCCTGTTCCAGCCTCAGAACTTGGCCTAGTTCCTAGTGCATAGTGAGGACTCCATAAATGTTTGTAAAATAAATAGAATGGTTGAAAGGCCCTTTGTGATCTTGTAACCGCCTCACTGTCTAGCCTCATTATATTACTGTCCCATGGTACTTTTGGCTCAAGGAAGACTGCATTAGTTGCTCCTTTAATCCCCTGGAGCCTCCATGTCTTTGCACCTGTTATTTCCTTTGCCTGCCTGTCTTCGTGGTGATTTCCTGGTCATTGGTCAAATCTCAGCTCAGTGGCTACCTCTGTGATGTACCTAATATTTCCAGGCAGATGTTCTTTTCCTCCTTCTAAGTTCCCACTACACTTTGTAAATACCTCTGTGGAAGCACTTTATTGTATTGTAACTGTTGGGGAATGTCTGTTTCTACTATTACACTGTAAGCATCATAAAAGGAGAAATTGTGTGTTTTCATTCTAATTTCCCTAGGACCTTGCACAGTGCCTGGCACATATAAACCTGTCATAAGTGATGAATGAATTTGTGATTTAACAAAGGATCATGTAGTTGGAAAACTGTTGAATGTGTGTATTTTCAAGAAAGGGAGTGCCCTGGTGGCTTCCAGAGTTGTTTTTTTTTTTTTTGCTTTTTTGTTTTTGTTTTTTGCTCTAGAGAGGAGATCTAGAGAGTGTTATGTAATCCCTTTGAATACAAGATTACTTGTTTAAGTTTAAAAGTAATATAACTTGGATAATAATAGATCTTCATAAATTATTGCAAAAGATATCAAAAGCTTTGTGATCTCTCAAATGCTATAAAGTCCAAATATTTGCACTATTCTATTTCCATAGTAAATGCTATGAGAAAATGTACAGCAATAAATTTTGAAGCTTTAAACGTGTTTGTGTAAGTCATCTTCAATGACTTAATCCATGAAGAACATCTCTGGCCTGTGTGCCCTGGACACAAGGGACTTGAGACTGGCATTGAGGGCCCAATGCTCTCAAAACGTTTTCGTCCACACACTTCCATTTCTGCTCAGACAGTTGCTCATTCTGTTGGCCTGCCTAGGAAACAGTGGACCGCAAGGGTGTGCTGCAGAGTGGGGGTGGGGAGGTGTGGGGATGGGGGTAGGGGGGCTGCCCTAATCTTAGCGTGACCCCTGCCTCTACGCCTCCAGCGGGGCTGCCATAGCTTAATCTTCCCTCCTGTTTTCTCTTCTGGGATGAATATGTGACCTCTGTGCAAGAAAAATACTCCAGTTTCCTCTACAGAGTCCACAGTTAGGGCAAGGAACATAGGTTATATTAGGGTTACCTGGGTGTAGCTGTTGGACTGGAACTTGAAATTGTGGGTGATTTAATCAATCTACATATCTCATAGGGTCTTGGGTAGACTATAAAATTTAAATTTGCACACTGATAATAAAGATAATCGTTACTTTTTCAATTATTTAGCTTTGCTTTTATGATAAAAGTATGAAAGCTTTTGTTCTCCTTTACATAGTTTAGAATTTACAGAACACTTTCACCAGCATTGATGTCATCTTTGAAGGTTATCCACCCAATATGTACGTATTCTTTTCATTATCCTCATTTAAGAGTTACAGAAACTAAAAACTCAGACAAATGAAGTGACTTATCCAAGCTAGTAAGGTGTAGAGAGGGGAATTTGAGCGCAGATGTCTTGTCTTTCCAGGATTCTATGCCCCACTCAGGCCTCAAGCTGCTCTTCTGTGATAGCAACACAGTTTAGCTGTTGAGGGACAGTATGGCTATAGCCTGAAAGTTTAATAGAGGGTGGAGTAATTCTTTAAAGGAAATCTGGTCACTTTCAATGTGAATGGTCAGATCGTTGCCAACAAAATCTGAGAAATATCTTACCAGGATTATATCTTTTGTGTAAGGGATGGGAAACACATAGCTTCTTAGTCACAGAATGTTGAGGTGTTTTTTTTTTATTTGGGGTTTGGCTATTCTTTCCTCTGTAGTACTTGAAGTTTTTTGCTTCGTGCACCTGACTCTCAGGGAATTCCGGCAGCTGTGTGACTGAGCCACAGCCCCTGAGGGAGATTATTCAAAGTGGAGTATGTACAGGTAGGGGATGTATAAAACCATGCATTGGGAGAAAAATGCTTGACCTAACATGTTTTCACCTCATGCTTTTGCTCTTTTAATTTTGAGTGTTTTATTATGTACATATTTGTAGAGTATTACCTGATAAAATTTTAAAATAAATATCCCTAGATTTGGGACCTATCCTTTAAAAAATGTTACTAGGAGAGTTTGAGATTATTGCTCCCTTGCAGTATTCTTCATCTGGGGTCCCCGTACCCCTGGAATTAAGGGGCCTGCCAACCTCTTGCCATTCCATGCAAAGTTGTATTTTATGTGCCCTTTCCCTGGGGTTGTAACCATCGCTTCTATAAAATTCCCAATTCCACTGAAGCTTGTGCTGGTTTAGGCTCACACAAATTTAGATCATCTGTACCCTGATTTTCTGTTTCGTTTAAAGAATTTATGCTAATAAGGTACCCAACATAGTGCTTGTCTCCCCCATTGTTTTTTTTTTTTTTTTTTTTTTTTTGGTTTTTCTCCGGTACCGGGAACCGAACTCACGACCTTGCGCTTGCCAGGCAGGCGCTTTTGCCGCTGAGCTAAATCCCCAGCCCTCCCCCATTGTTAATGTATTTCACAAACAAATAACTTTTTGCCCTCAAAAGCCAAACAGCAAACAGAAAACAAAGCAAAAAACCTTAGTGATTTTTTTAGGGATTGGAATATGCTCTGGGGGAATTACCTTGCATTTTGCTGCTGACTGGTTTGATTCCTTTGGAGTGAGAGAACCAAAGTAGAGAGTTTGTGTGTGTTAGGGAGGTTGATAGGAAGCTGTAAGAAGCCTTGTTGGACACAACATGATTTATACAAAGGTCTGAGACTCAACAAAAGCTAGTTATGTTAAAGTAGAAATGTAGAAATCTGATGGGAGGGCTACGAATAGCCATCTAGTAGAATGCGCTATTTATGATGGAAGCCCTTCATCATAAACAGGGTTATGATTAAAACCCTACTTTCCTGTCTCCCACAAACACAGTTACTTAATGTAACATCGTAAGTGAGAAAACCATAACCTTGCAGATATGACTGTTATTTTTAAAAACTACTGTGGCTTTTGGACGAAAACAGACTTATCAGAGGCTGCTGTGGGGATGGGATAAATTAGTCATCTAACGCCAAAGACACCTAACACGGTGTCAGGGCAGGCACATTATTACTCAGTCAAAAACAAACTCAACTTCCATGGAACTTTAAATCCATTCAGGGAATTAATGAGTTTTCTGTCACTGTGACAAAATACCTAAGATAGTACATTTATATAGAAGAAAGGTTTATCTTGGCTCACAGTTGGTGGTTTCAGTCCATGGCTGATCTTTTGCTTTTATCCCTGTGGTCAGGCAGTGCGTCACGGTGGCAGTGTATGGCAGAGGATGCACACAGCAGTGGGAAGCAAAGACAAAAAAGGGAAGTGGGCCAGGGCCCCAATATTCCCTTCCGTATTCCCAAGGGTACCCCCCTCCCCATTATCTAACTTCCTGCTAGGACCCAGCTTCTAAAATTCTACCACCTCCCAGTACAGCCATGCTAGGGACCAAGCCTTTAGCACATGAGCCTGTGAGAGTCACTTAACTACAGCAGTCATAATTTTTATTTCTCTGAAACTTTGAAAAATAAATTCCATAGAGTCTATTGCCATATTCCTAAAGATCTGTAGAGAGGCAGAAGCAACGTGGGCAAGAGTTAGAGCAGGAAGGTAGTTCAAACTACTCAGGAAGATTTCTCTTTGATTCAGTACCTCAAGGAAGAAATAAAAATAACAGTGAAGGAATTTGTACTCAGGAACATGCCTACTTAGTACTTCCTTGTTAATTCAGATGTTCAAGACTAAACTTAGCTCATGTTCTCAAAAATCAAAACTTTTAATCCTTTTCCTATCTTTACTTAACCCCCTGGAGTGTGGCAGACATCTAAGGTGGGTTAGGCCAACAGCCATTCACCTTTATGCTCCCCTTATCCTCCCAGTTAAGGCCCCGTGTTTGGATTTCCAGCAGTGGGACCTTGAGGAGTAGCCATGAGGATGGGAAGCCAACATTACAAGGCTGGCAGATGGGAAAGCCAGCAAGGGCCTCGCTTCTCAATGGCATTCTTTCATTCTTAGTAGCCCTAGTAACACTTCCCTTCTGTTCAGTAACACACACGTGCACGCCTCGTTAACTCTTCTTT